TAATCACCTGGTACTGTTCGTACAGTTCTCCTCTCCACGCCGCGGCGCGGCAGCTGACGGCAGGTTTTTCCGTCTGGCTGCGGCCTCGACCGTTGGAAGTCGTGTTATGTGAAGCAGCTGAGGCGCTGACTGACACGTGATGACGGTCGGCCTCCAGCTGTGAGCCAAACAATGACTACAAAGAGATGAAGCACCTATACGATCATACGTGCACATGATCAACTCAATATGGACTGAAGGTGAGGCTGAACGACACGAGGAAGGAATGTCAACACAGGAGTACAGGATATGTATCACAGCTCTGTTTAAACACCTGCAGATTTTATCACTGATTATTGGGTAGAGGTCTGTCAACGTGCCACATCTTGACTCGACACTTTCTGTTCACTCTCACCTTCAGTCAGGAACCCTGTCAGTCATGCTGTGTTCAAGTGAAAACAAAAAAAAAGGCAACTAAAACCTGGGCTCAAAGTCCTGACGCTCTGTCGAAACCATTCTTTTGTCGCTTTGCATAAATACTTATGACTCCACGCAGGTAAAAAAGAACCCCCTCTGGGGGCTGTAGTCATTCTTATTACCCTATTATCTGAGGAACACTGATTTGAAGTGAAACAGTGCCAAAGCATGATGCCACAAACCACCGACCTGCTTCACACGGCTATGGTTTCCTGGCTGTGGTAACGATGGCTCGTTGTTCGTCAGCGTCACCTTGTCAGGCCATGATTTCATCAGACGGATGGATGTCGTTGGATGTCGTGTACTGTACGTCTATGCTACGTGGCTCCCCATTCACTCCTTTCTTCCATTCAAGTCCCGTCTTAGTCATCGGCTCTCCCTTTCCTTTAATCTCTCTCTCTTTTTATTTTACTTTTATTTTGTTCTTTTCTGGCTGCTGTGTTGTGCAGCCAAGGCTGTTTCTTCCTCAGAATGCACTCTTGAAAGGCCATTCATTGATTCTCCAATGAAAACCTATTACATTTGTATGTGAGAGGCAGAGGGGAGAAGAGGAGGAGGAGGAAAAATAAAGGAAGAGAGAGGTATTCCGGGGGCCGTGCTACAGTACCATCTGTATGCAAATCTCCTCCGACTTTGGTAAACTTTGATCAAACACTAAGACCTCCCTTTCTCTGCCCCTCTCTCTCTCTCTCTCCTTCTCCCCCTCCCTCCCCCCTCCTCCCTCCCTCCCTCCTTGTCCACTATGTGCTCTGCAATTACTGTAGCGGCGCAGCTCTTTGTCAGATCTACATGTTAGGAACTGTCCCTTATCCTCCCTCCTAACACACACACACACACACACACACGTACGTTCTGCTCCAGTGCCCTTTGATACCCTCCTTCTAAGAAGCATTGGTTCTTCACCTAACACACACACACACACACACACACAGGACTTCTCAGCACCTGCAACCTCACTGGACCCCAGAACAGATGGTGCCAGTCCCTCCACCACACACACACACACACTAACAAACAGAGTGGCACATGGCTGATGGGCATGTCTTTGTGCAGGGATTGGGCAGGCGTTTCAGACACACACACACACACACATTGTTCCGTCCATATGGGAAGGTTAAGGTGTTGAATGCTGAGCCGTTGTCCAACAGGACAATGGACATGTTGTAGCAAACGCTGTCAAAAAATGATGGAGGCGCCGTAATGAAGATCTCAAAGAACGGGCGCACCAACCGGAGCACACGGCGAGGTCGCGCTGCTCGTCGCTGCGATAAGATTGCACCCCAGCTGTGTATGCTGTCGTCATACGTAAAGGTCACGGCTGTGAGTCTGTTTGGGGAGAGGATGTTTTTGAGTTCTTTTCCACTCCACGCAATTGTCAGCGGCTTTTTTCCAATCTTTGTTTTGTGTTTGTCAAATAGCTGTCTGGCACAGAGCTGTTGGACGCAGCTTTAAAAAAAAAAAGGGAATTTAGTTTTTGATTCGCTTTGGTCCAGAGGCAGTGTCTCTGTCATTGGTGTGGAACCCCAGGGTTCACCTCCTGGGCAGGTTTGAATCCCGGTTAGGACGGTTGGTACCTTCCAGTGGACTCACCA